TATAATAATCATCATATAAAAAAATGACTGACCAGATCAGTTACCATCATCATTTTTCTATTACCATAAAAAAATAACAATAGAAATTTGTTTGATGATTATATATTTCTATGGAGAGGATGTGAAGAGACAAAAGGTTTATTATTTATTAATTAATTATTCATTCATTCATAAAAATAATAGATCATCATTATAACTATATAACTTCAATTGTCATTTATTACATCATTATATTTTAAATGGGCTTTGCACATTTCCTTAGTTCAATTATTTTGGTTTTTGTACAAATCATTTCTTGCCAGGATTTAGGAATCATTGGTGCGCCTGAGTAATTAATACAATACCATCAGTAACAATCATTTAATAAATAATAATAATGTTAATGATCTCAATCAATAACATGAATAAATAATTGACCTGCGACACTTTGTGCATATATGACACCGAGTTCATTTTTAGCTGTAGATAACGTATAAGATCTTGCATCTCCAAGTGAAATCTTTTAAAGAATTAAATGACAATAAGATTAAATAATAATAATATTACTATTGTTGTTATTTTCTTACTGTCATTACGTAAAGGATACAACTTCTGCTCTTACTATGTCACCAGGTCTGAATGAATTGTAAATCTTGACTTTATCCTTTTCTGTAGCTCTTACATCTTGAGATCTTCGTAGTGCGAGTAAAGTAATATTGGTAAAGTGAATCGATAACATAAATAAAATGAGTAAGCGAATGAATGAACGAATGAATGAACGAATGAATGAATGAATGAATGAATGAATGCAAAAAAGCGAATTTTAATAAGTAATGAGTGCACAATGTATATGCAAAAGTAAAAGGTAAATAAATAAATAATAATAACAATTAGTAAATAACCTTATTATTCCTTGGAAATTTTCTTTGCATGGTGAACTACCAACAACCATTATAGACACAAAAGCTTCTTTTGGATTTATACGTATAACCTTACCTGTTATCTTTATGTGAACATATGTTAAATATACTGTTAATGAATGAATGTAGCTGTAGAAATGTCATTAATACTACTAACAATACTATTAACATCTGGTACTGCCGATTGTTTTTTTTCCCTCGAAACTGTTATTATTGGTATCTAAATAATTACAATTAAAATAAAAAAAGTTAGTATTTTTTTAATTGTAGTTACTTCCATACTCGCCATCAAGCGATTTAATTATTATTAATAATACTTCTTTAACTACATATTAACTATATTAATATTAATATTATATTATAATAAGGATGAAGATGATAAGTACCTTTTCTTCGTCTTTCTTGACAAAATCTTTTCTTACACCAACAACGCTAGCATAGATATGACTACCTCGAATATAAGTACCAGGACCTGCTTTAAAATTTTGTGTAAATCCTAATCTTTGACCCGGTGTCACGAATTCTGGCATATTATTTATATTTGATGAAAGAAACTTCTTTTGTTTTTTTTTTTTTTGTTTTTAAAAAAAAATTTGTGATTCAGTAACACAAATGGTCAGGGCTTTCAGTGTTTTCCAACTTAATAAGGTATATACCCGATTTGGGAACATAGATCGTACTTGGACATATATATTAATATATCAGGGCTGGCTGTGTAACCCGAATGTGACTAAACTATTTATGTTAAGTCAAGTTTAGTCAAGACAATTATTACTAAATTAGATTTTTAACCCTGCCAGCCCTGATATGCATATATATTTGATATGGGAATACCCCAGAAGGGAATTTACAGGGGCTAAAGTTTGTTTAGAAACACAAACTTTATTTCATTCGTGAACTTGGGAAATTACACGATTTCTCAATCGCAAAGTAAAATAAAAAGTAATAAAATACATTTGGTTTTTTTATCATATAGGGAATGTTAATGCTACAATTGTACCACTAATATAACATAAAATTTCAAGGTTGTCTTTATAAGATAACTCAATCAATCCAAATTAGCTTTGCTATTAATAAAACAAGGAGTGCATTAAAAAATCAAGTATGATTTAATTGATATGGAATTACCCCTACATAAAGTATAAATATATATAATCTACAATGGAACCCAAGGAGAAGTATTTGAAAAGAACAAGATGAGAAAATTGCTACTTTATGTTTAAATTAACTGATACTCTGGCACTTTGATATTATAACCTAAGGAAGGAGAAGATTACCTGTAAAGTTTACCGACAAGAAAAGAAACAATCAGCAAAAGAAAACTATATAACAGAAATGCAATTACCTAATAAAATGCAGAAAAGAAAAACAACATGAGATGATTAAATTGTGAAACTTTATTCAAGGTAAATAGGTAAATAGCCTATCTTGACGATTTAAATAATTGTCACAACATTAAATATTGACAACTGCTAATCATAATCAAATAAACCTAACATCAATTTTTTCTTCTCTCTTTGTATATATATATATATATCACTAGCTGCAGAAGTAAATATTATCAGCTTGAATATGTATATTTATAATCTGGCATCAATAAATATATCAAATTAGGGTAAGTATTTCCAAGAAATACTCATCGATGAGGTCTCTTTTTATGGACAATAAAGACTTTTGCATTGGAGGATTTGTAAAAATTTCAACTTTTGTTTTTATTACAAATTCTTATGGTAGTTGGATGTTATATATTGTTTGCTTATTTCCTAAACTTTTCAACTACCTCTTGTCCTTGTCTATTAAATACAGCAGCTTATTATCTTCGGCACCCGAGCATTCAATATAAACTGAAGTTGACCTAACAAATTTAATACGCTCAATTTTTAATTTGCGCCTTTTTGTTTGCTGCATTGTTTAAATTAACATTAATAAATAATAAGTTGCAAAAATGAATACAATAATTAGCCCATTGATTAAATCTAACGTATTGAGCTAGATTTAACAAAGTATTTTCCGACTCCCACGTTAGATTCTATATTCGTGACCTTGTTTGTGATAAAAAAATCCTGACCAATAAGAGAGAGGCTTCACAGGTTCTTTGAAAGGAAATGCAATTTCAATAAGTCCACAGCCACCATGAATTTTCCGTTACATCATATCCTTCGGAAATCAAGTCTTTTTTTTTGGAAAATTAAAAATCCTGCAAGTCGAATATCAAACATTAAATAATTGATAGTTTTAAAGAAAATAATCCCAAGCATTAAAATAAAATCATGCTATAATGAGTTACCGAGTCAATCAATTTTTCAAAAATAAATTTTTTCCAATTATTGATGTCAGAGTAAATTATACAAAGTGTAAAAAATTTCTATAAAAAAAAAAACATTGCGCGTTATACATCATTGTAGCTATAAAACATCGATTTACTAAAATAGTCACAATGACATAAGATATAATGCACGTAAAAAAGAGTACAAGCAAAAAAAGAAGTTCTTCTAATGGACAATGTTATTTTTAACTTGTTATAATTAAAGGGGAAAATAAAGTCAGTGTTGAAATCCAGTTGACGGAATCGACCGGTGTTACGTTACACTTTGATACGACTCTACATATAGTTCTAAAATTGTACTAGTTTATAACATATTTGTAAATGCTATATATAAACTAATATATATTGTGATTTTTTAAAGTTTTTAACTATAGAAAAACAAGTGTAGTAGACTGTGTAATAGTACTGCAGGATCGAGTAACACCCAAATTTTTAATGATGGTGTAAAAAAGGCTTTCTAGCTTATATACGTATTATGAAATCCCAACATTTTCTTTTTGAACCTTGGTAAAAGTTCAAAGATTTCTAATTGTCATTTTCATGAATTTATACTATTAAAGAAGGCTGATGGGAAAAGAAATCGAAATTTTCATGTCATAAAAGATATCAAAACCTCATTACACCTATCTATTCCTTTCATTTCATTTTGCACCACCAGTTATTTTGTGGCGTTATACTGGTTTGGTTATAGCATGCATGCCCCAAATTGCAATAATGGCGCGTAAGGCACATGGACATATTGATACTGTCAATTTCCAGGGAACTGGGTTTTTTTAATGACATCATTAAGAAATTAGGTTTAGTTTAATCAAGTTGGTTTAGTTGGTTTGATCATTTGATCTTAAAAACAGGTTATTTATAATTTGTGGAAAAATTTGAATAATATGATAATAGGGTGTTTTTATTCGAGTTCGGTTCTATTGTTGGTCCCGGTTGAAGTAAGTCGGAAAAAGTCATACCGAAATGGTCCCTTTTTATATTTTTTGGGAATAATTTCTTTTTCAAGAAAAAGTTCTTATAAAATGTACCCATTGTATAACTAAATAAGGATAGAAGGTTTATTTATTTGGTTATTCGTTATTAATATTTATGTGTATTTATATATATACTAGAATGAATTGAAAAAAATTGTAAATAAAAAAATATTTGGAATTTTTTTAATCTAAAAATTAAAAATCATTATCAAAATGAAAAATAAATAACATTCCTCTATTTTATTTAAAATAGATCATTATTTACTGATTTTTCGGGGTAACCCATTTTATAAATATATAATTATTATTTATATGTATATTATACAATCACACGCACATACGCACACACACGAATCACGAATCACGCACACACGCACACACGCACATAATAGCTCATAACGCATAACTATTACTAGTAGTAAAACTATTACATATCGGTAATTGCAATTGATGCTGATCAGTTCGAGAACCCGTCTAAATAACCAGATTGAATAATGACAACAAAAAAACAATACACGCATTGCTACTCGTCATAATTAATAAACATCATAAATCACATTGAATCAATTATCAATTAACCGTAAATAGACAAAAATTGGACTGGGCGAATTCATGGGAACCAAGATTTTTTATTTTACAATAAAAATAAATAAATAAAACTTAAAACTTAAATATTTTAGTTGCTGCTTAGTTTGTATTTTACATTGGATTCTGCGATGATAATTCATGTGCAAATAAAATATACATACGCGCGATATACAATATTAGTATTTTGATAAGGATTCACATTTCAACTCAAATTTTTTCAAGGTAATTAATTAATTATAAACGACAAAAGCAATTCCCGTTATCATAATAATTAATAATTATATAATAATCATCATATAAAAAAATGACTGACCAGATCAGTTACCATCATCATTTTTCTATTACCATAAAAAAATAAAACATTTAATTTTTTCAACGTTCAAATTTATAATTTCATTATCCTCATCGATTAAAATAATGTTATATTACATCATCTTACATTACGTTTTCCATATTCAAAAATTTCCCCCATCCTCCTTTTGTTTTTTGTTAGTTTTAATTTTTTTCCGTTGGTATGTTATTATCAACTATCAAACAACTACAACAACTTTTTTTATTTATGTAGTAAAAAAATATTTTTAACAATATACTATTGAGAATGAATGGATGAATTATTATTGTTTATTTATTATTATTATTATTATATATATATATATATATGTATGTATGTATGTATGTATGTTATATTTTCCATTCTTGTATAAATTTAGAATTAATTAATTCAAGAAAAATTTCAAATATTGTTTTTTTACTAGTTGACCGACCAATTAACAAACATCCTAACTAACTAACCAACAAATAATATCAATCAATCGAAGTACCTACCCACCTACATGCCTAGTTAGTTACCCATACAAAAGATAATTATCTACCCACGCACCTTAAAGATATAAATATGTATGATCAATATACTTTAAAAAAAATTTTTTTTCCGTTAAAATAAAAAAAGAAACAATTGAAAATTATATTTTTTTTTATAAATAACAAAATAAATAATATTTTTTTAAAAAAAAACTACGATAAATATTTTTTTTTTTCTCTTTACAAAAAAATAGAAACTTTTTTTTATTATCAATTTCAATTATAAAATAAAATAAAGAATTATGTCATTATCAGAGAGATGGAGGCTTTTGGTAACAGGAGAAGAGAGAATTGATAAAATTATTGGGATAGCAGAATTAGCTTATTCGGTTCAACCACTCTATGAGGTTGTTAGACAAGCAAAGAAGATTGAGTCAAATATTTTCGAAGCTTCTAATTCAAAGGTAAACGAATATTGATTATTGTTTTGCAGGGTACGGCAAGAGACCTGGTGTTTTTTTTTTCTGTTGTATAATTTTACACGTTAATTAATGTCCTCCTTTCACCACACACCTTTTCGCATTTTATCCACAGGAAAACTATGCGTCTACGATGGACCAATTAATTTTAAATATGAAGGAATTGATTGAAGACAAAACCAAAATTCATTTAGAGCAATTGGCCACAAAGTCTATTCTTGATTCGATGGACAAACGAATAAAGCAAATTAAGGAGGAAACGGAAATGAAAGGAAGATCTATAAATATTGATAACATCAATTATATTATCAATAACGAAAACGATGAAGAAGATGTAAAAAGAATTAAAGAAATATTACAAA